CAAGATAGGGAAGCTGTAGGAGGCAGCAGGCTGGGGCTGGGTGTACACATGTGGTGGTACACCAAGGCTTCAGTTTGGGGCATATTAATGTTCTTCTACTATTTTCCCTGGATCCAGGAGTCAATAATGATGAACATATTAAGTGTGGGAGGCCTATTAGACATCCATGCGGGTATCAAGAAGGTACTAGAACATGTGTGGCTAGAATTCAGGCCTAAGGTTGGATTTGATAACAGATGTGTTGTAGAGACAAAGTGAATTAGCTAGGAAAGCTCAGGTGGGCTAGAAGTCCACTTGAAGTTGACGATTATAAATTTAAAATGAAATCAGTCAGCCTGGTTGTGATTTTCTCTAGCAATATCCAGTGGACAGTGGAAGTAGACAGCTGGGTTTAATCATGATCAGGAAAGTAGTCCAGTTCAGTTGTGTCCGACTGTTTGTGATCCCATGGATCTCAGCATGCCAAGCTTCCCTGTCTTTCACCAATTCCCAGAATTTTCTCATGTCCATTGAGTCAGTGATGCCATCCAACCATCTCATCCTCTGTTGTCCCCTTCTCCTCCTGCCTTCAATCTTTCCCAGCATCAGGGTCTTTTCCAATGAGTCAGCCCTTCCAATCAAGTGGCCAAAGTACTGGAGTTCCAGCTTCAGCATCAGTCCTTTCAATGAATATTCAGGACGGATCTCCTTGCAGTCCAAGGGACTCTCAAGAGTCTTCTCCAACACCACAGTTCAAAAGCATCAATTCTTCTGTGCTCAGCTTTCTTTATAGTCCAACTCTCACATCCATACATGACTACTAGAAAAACTACAGCTTTGACTAGACAGACTTTGTCTGCAAAGCAATGTCTCTGCTTTTGTAGGTTAGGATATAAAATGACAAGGAAGTTGCAAGTACTCACAATGGAGTAATGGTAATGATGCAGCACTGATTCTGTTCTGGGTAAGAAGGGATACAAAGAGAGAAGGGGATAGATGTTGTTCTAAGTCTATCACTGCAAGACCAAATATTATTATTTAATAAATACTCCTTGTTTTATTTAATATTTGCCTCTGGTGGCTCCACCCAGCCTCATACCCTAGTCTTCAAGGCTCACCGCAGTGGCCCTCCTACACATCATGGCATTGGGGTGGGGGCGGGCACGGGGCGGGCGTTGGGGGCGCGGGGCGGGCGTTGTTTGGCACACCAGTCCTCTTGTGCCTCTCCGACTGCCGGCAATGGCCGGGTATGGACCTGACGCTCCAGCGCCATCCATTTTCAGGGCTAGTTGATTCAGCAGGTGAGTTGAACCTTTTCTAAGAAAAGAAAACCAGGGGATTTCCAGGTGAACCAATGGTTACGATTCTGCACTGTCACTGCCAAGGGCACAGGTCAATCCCTGGTTACAGAACTAAGATCCCATGTTCTGCACAGTGCAGCCAAAAAAAAAAAAAAAAGAAAACCAGGCATTACTATTAATAAATATTTATCAAGTGTATACTGTGCAGGGAATACTGTGCTTAGTGAAAGGATATGTAGAAGTATAAGGACTCACCTTCTAGAAGTACAGCTGAAAGGGAACTGAGAAATCATCATTTATCACCCTCACTTTACAAAGCTAGAAGTCAAGGTTTAACAGGTGCTCAGTCGTGTCCCACTCTTTGCAGCCCCATGGACTGCAGCCCGCCAGGCTCCTCTGTCCATGGAATTTTCCAGGCAAGAATACTGGAGTGAGTTGCCATTTCCTCCTGCAGGGGATCTTCCCCACCCAAGATCTTCCTCTTTCCCAATGAGGGGAGCGAACCCTCATTGGCAGGCGGGTTCTTAACCACTAACTAGCACCACCCTTGGGACACAATAATTGGGGTGGAGAGGTTTCTGACTTTTCACTTCGTACTACTGGAATTTTCTGCCATAAGCATGTACTACTTTAACAATAAATACAATAGAAACTATCATAATAAAATTAGAGAAGAAAGAGTATGTTGTGCATGTCAAACAAAACTGGACAGCGAATTTTTTTACCCACTGGTTACTTCTACAGTTAATGCATACTGGCATTTTTGAGAAAACTCAAAGTATATTACTACTTAACAACTATGTGCAAATGCAGCCACTTGGTGGGTGATACCAAAATACTGCCAAAAATCTTTTCTAATGTCCATGTTCAGAGGAACATAAAGGTAAAAATACCATTGCTACTGTCTAAAAGTTAAGTAAAGAACAGATTATCTACTGTAAATTGCATTCCAAGGTGTGTCTTCTTTAAATTAAGGGCTATGTAAGTTTTCTACTTGCTCTCTCGCCTACCAGAAACTGCATCCCTGGAATCTGCTTAAAAAAAAAAAAAAATCCTCTTTGCAACTTTTTTTTAAAAAAGACCCTGTATGAAATGTCTTTTGCCTCCTAGTCACAGGAGGTGGGAAAAGTTAGCTATTTTATAATGTGGCTATTCTTGTGAATTAAAAATTTAAAGTAGCTTATTTCAGTTTCTTGGGATAGTCTCTGACCCCAGATATATTCCTCAACATAATGACTCCAAGTAGAAGTTCGCGTAGTAGACTCATGTACAAAGAAAAGAAAAAGAATCCAAATAAATTAAGCAATGGCCACAGGGTGCCCAGCACTTAAGAAAAAAGAGGCTTGTTTAGTTGGTTTTGTTGACAAAAAGGAAAAAGAATAAAGAAGCATCCTCCCCACTCCCGCCTGCTCTGTACTCCAAAGTAACTCTAGCAAGGCAATCTTGCTGAGGATCGCCAGACGGCTGCGGCAGGCCAACAATATGCTGCTGAATTCTTTGTTCAGTGATTCGACTAAACTGGGTTCTCAGTGTTTAGATGCTAGGCTTGTTCTGCTGCAAAAGTCATCTGAGTTTAACCTGGGATTCAAATTATCATTTCAATCAGCGAGCTTGTAACTGTAGCAGTTCTTATGGGGAACAGTGCCTCCACTCTGAAGGTGCAAGGGTTGGCAAACTATGGCCAGCAGGCCAAATCTTGATGTTTAAAAAACAAAAAGTTGGGACTTCCCTGGTGGCTTAGTGAGAAAGAATCTGCCTGCCAATGCAGGAGACATGGGATCCATCCCTGGTCCAGCAAGACCCCACAGGCCGTGGAGCAACTAAGCCTGAGCGCCACAGCTATTGAGCCTGTGCTCTAGAGCCCAGGGGCCACAACTACTAAACCCACTTGCCACAACTACCTAAGCCTGCTGTGCTATAAAGCCTGTGCTCCAGAAAAGAGAAACCACTGCAATAGAAGCGTCCAAACCACAACCAGAGAGTAGCCCCCACTTGCCACAACTATAGAAAGCTGGTGCAGCAATGAAGACTCAGAACCAAAAATAAATAAAAATTTAAAAAACACAGAGATTCCCCAAAAGAACAAAAGGTTTACTGGAACAGAGCCACACTCATTTGTTTACACGTCTCTGGCTGCCTTCACATTAAACAGCAGAGTAGTCCTGACTGACGGCTGCTGCTGCGAAGTCACTTCAGTCGTGTCCAACTATGCGACCCCATAGACAGCAGCCCACCCCAGGCTCCCCCGTCCCTGGGATTCTCCAGGCAAGAACACTGGAGTGGGCTGCCATTTCCTTCTCCAATGCGTCAAAGTGAAAAGTGAAAGTGAGGTTGCTCAGTCCTATCCGACTTTTAGCGACACCATGGACAGCAGCCCACCAGGCTCCTCCGTCCACGGAATTTTCCAGGCAAGAGTACTGGAGTGAGGTGCATTGCCTTCTCCGCCTGACAGACAGAATGGCCCGCAAAGCCTAAATACAGACTATCTGGGCCCCCACAGAAAGCTTGCTCCTCATTTTAGGGCACTGCTACCCCTCCTCCCCCCTCTGTAAAAAAAGATCCCCCACAACCTGCCACTCCCTGCCTCTCAGGGCTGACTTCCCAACACTGTGTCCCCACTAGCTTTGTTTGGTTTCAACTACAAAGAACTACTTGCACTTCCCCTAAATCAGCGAGCATACACGTGAAAGCCGCTCCGTCGTGTCTGACTCTTCTTGGCGACCCCATGGGCTATACAGTCCACGGAATTCTCCGAGCCAGAAGACTGGAGTGGGTAGCCTTTCCCTTCTCCAAAGGATCTTCCCAACCCAGGGATAGAACCCAAGTTACCCGCACTGCAGGCAGATTCTTTACCAGCTGAGCCACGAGGGAAGCCCAAGAATACTGTAGTGGGGAGCCTATCCCTCCTGCAGGGGATCTTCCAGACCCAGAAATCGAACCCGGGGTCTCCTGCAATGCAGGCGGGTTCTTTACCAACTGAGCTATCAGGGAAGCCCGAAAGGCAGAACCCACATGCTTCCAACTCCCTGCCCCACGTCACCCCTTCTCCTTGCCAACTCAGCTTCAAAAGGTCCCTGAAACTTCAGCTGTCGCCTCTTCCTCCCATTTAAGTCTTCTAGGTTGCCCAAGGTCCTGTAATTTGCAGTCGGCCTCCCTTCTCAGTTCTGCAATAGCGGACGCTGTTTCCTGCTTCTGACTAGTTCCTTCACCCGCGGCTGACACATACTAAGTGCCTGGTCCTTGCTGATTCAATTCCTGAATAAATCCTTGCAGGCCTCACACTGCTCTGGATATTTAGGCTGGAAATATATAATGTAATAGCGAGGGCAGGGCGCCATAAGCGAAGACGTACAGAACAGAAGGCGAAGGTGGTGCCACCTACTCAGACACCCCTATTCTAGAAAAGTCTATGAACGCTCAGCCGGGCGACACCCTGCTTTTCTTAGCCTCTCCTGCACACCGTGTCTGACTGCCCTGCACGGGTTTGGCCCATAACGCTAGAGACTAGACAGCTCCCATTTTACACTCAGCCGTGTACGCAGTGAGCCCTCTGAGGGCCCCAGGTCTCCGGGGGGCGCAAGTTTGGGGGACGGGTCACCGGCGTCCGGGCCCCGCACGCCTCCTCCTCCTGTGGGCCCGGGCCTCCCGCACCCTCGGGCCTCCCGCGCCAGCCCGCAGCCCTGTTCTCGTCTCCCTGGCTTTCACCCCGGCGCCTCTCACCTCCGTCCCAGATTCAGCCCTATGGAAGTCACTACACATCTCCCCGGAGGCTCGGCGTAACAGCCACTCAACCTTCCCGCCTGCAGCGCCATTTACCGCCCGGCGTCTTCCCCTCAGCCAGTCAGAGACGCTGACCCTTTGACCCCGGCGTGAGCACGCGCACTGAGCCCAGCCTACGCCGGGGAGCCGGTGGGCATGCGCAGTAGGACGTTCTAGCTGCCGGTTCATGACGTCAGACCCCCGTCTCCTAGGAAACTGGGAGAGCGCTTGGGGGGTTATTTTCTTTCTTCTGTGTCTTTGACCCCGGCGTGAGCACGCGCACTGAGCCCAGCCTACGCCGGGGAGCCGGTGGGCATGCGCAGTAGGACGTTCGAGCTGCCGGTTCATGACGTCAGACCCCCGTCTCCTAGGAAACTGGGAGAGCGCTTGGGGGGTTATTTTCTTTCTTCTGTGGTAAACTTCAATATGCTTTTGTTAAGTGAAACTAGCAGCGTGTGCGTGTGGCTCATGGTTGATTCTGAAAAAAGTGCATTAAATTTAAACGAATTTTTAAAAATAGATCAAGCCGACAGATTTATCGAGTTCATTTTGGAGGCAGAAGAATTATATTACTTAGTTGTTATTAAATGTCCGTTGAGATGAATATTAGATGAGGAGATGATAGAAAAATAGACGGATATTGAATATTTGCTATTCGCCAGACCGTGTGCGGAATGGGAAGAGAACAAAGAATAAGATACACGTCTGAATGGAGTTATTCTTAGACTTCCCTTGTGGCTCCGCTGGTAAAGAATCCGCCTGCAATGCGGGAAATCTGAGTTGGATCCCTGGGTTGGGAAGGTACCCTGGAGAAAGGCATGGCAGCCCACTCCAGTCGTCTTGCCTGAAGAGTCCCCATAGAGGAGCTTGATGGGCTACAGTCCATAGGGTTGCAGAGAGTCAGACACAACTAAGCACAAGGCCAGCACATATCCAGGATGGATAAGCAACAGTGTCCTGTATAGCACAGGGAACTATATTCAGTATCTTGTGAAAAACCATAAGGGAAAAGAATATAAAAAAGAATATATGTATATGTGTACAACCGAGTGACTTTTCTGTACAGCAGATATTATAACACAACATTGTAAATCTACTATTGTTGTTGTTGTTTAGTCACTAAGTCATGTGACTTGTTGTGACCCCCCCACGGACTGCAGCACGCCAGGCCTCCCTGTCCTTCACTATCTCCTGGAGCTTGCTCAAACTCATGTCCACTGAGTCAGTGATGCCATCCAACCATCTCATCCTCTGCTGTCCCCTTCTCCTCCTGCCTTCAATCTTTCCCAGCATCAGGGTCTTTTTAGCTTGTGCTTCATCCAGAGCGGTATTTCTCCTGATGTACCCTGCATATAAAGTACTCATATAAAGTTAAATAAGCAGGGTGACAATATACAGCCTTGATGTACTCCTTTCCCAATTTGGATCTAGTCTGTTATTCCATGTCCTGTTCTAACTGTTGCTTCTTGACTTGCAATGATATTTCAATTAAAAAATGGATGTAGGTGCCAGATATAGTTTGGGATGTGGAGCTCAAAGAGGTTCAGGAAGTTCTAATCTGAGCACTTATGTTTTCTTCTCTCAAGTAAATAGCAAGATAGTAAAAATGCAAGATTCACGTTTAAATTCCTCTTGTGAAAATTAAAAGGAGCACCCAACTCTAAACAAATGTTGCCCACCCTCCTCAGAAAACCAGTCTTGGTCCACTTGCATATATAATGCAGTCGGTGAGGGACCTAATACTATGGTAGAGTATGGCAGTAACTGTTCTAACTAGGGAAATTTTCCTGTAATTATCTATACTCACATTCAATATTCAACACATATTTAGTACTATTCTTTCATTGCACAGAGCTCTTTCCTGAGTTACAGTGTTCCTGAATTTCAAGATGAATTTTCTGAACTCACCATGGATTCTGATGCCAGATACATGTAGAATTTTTAACTTGATTCTGTCACTTATTACCCTGATATAAGTTACTTACCTTTATGGATCTTAGTTAGCATAGAACTGACTCATTTGAAAAGACCCCAATGCTGGGAAAGATGGAAGGCAGGAGGAGAAGGGGACGACAGAGGATGAGATGGTTGGATGGCATCAATGACTCGATGGACATGAGTTTGGGTAAACTCTGAGAGTTGGTGATGGACAGGGAGGCCTGGCGTGCTGCGGTCCATGTGGTTGCAAAGAGTCGGACACGACTAAGTGACTGAACTGAACTGAACTGATGATGACTAAGTGAAACCATGTACTTAAAACTGGTTAGCACAGTACCTAGCACTGTGCTAGCACTGGTACTTTGGTTAGCACAAAATATCAATTCCTTTCCTACCTCCGTGCCTTTCTTAGGTTGTCACTTAATGTAGCACCAAAGATACAATTATACTCAGTAGAGATCTTCCATTCAAGTGATTGCAGCGATTGGGGCCAGATTAAGACAGATTAACTCCTGTCTGGGAGTTGTCCAGAGTGCCACACAATAAAAAGTGCTGAAACTTCTCTAGGTACTAAAATGCTGCAGACATGTGATATGGAAAAAAAAATATTTTTACTGCATCTCTTTTCAAGGTGAATACTGTGTAAGGTTAGGAGGCAAAGCCTCTTGGAAAGAGGGTGGAAAAAAATGCCAGAAAACATGTGCCTTCCTAACATGAGGTTGCCATGTGTGGGGTTAAAGGACGAGGTGAACAAGCTGGTGTGTTCCCACCATCACCATTTGCCTCAACCAACATTTCTCCCCACTGCCTTCTCTCCATCCTCTTCCACACATGGAATCTGCAGAAAATAGACAAATACTTTTAAGGTGCCAAATTATATTATTTGCTCCCTTACCAAGCCCATAAATCTTAATCTGATTCAGATAATATTGATGGTGGCAATGACTTGAACTACAACCCATTTTGTACTGAGGTCCTGGATTTCCTAAGCCATTTGTAGAATAACCAGAGCAAAGTCATGCATACTGCCCATTATAAAAGATTTGGGTTCCCTAAGCCGAAGATTCTTCTCCTGTATGCAGCCCACTCCATGTGCTGGTCATATCTTACCCTTTCCTCACTGCCCTGTGGCTACTGGGGCTCTGGCAAGCAGTGAGAGGAAATGCTGATTTGCTGGTTACTCCTATTACTATGAGCAACAAAATCTTTTGTGTCTGACTTGGACTTTTGTGTGGTCTGTCAGCATCCATGAAATTGTCATAGGCTGGTTTGTCAGCTCGCAGGAAGAATAAAAGCCCAGGATCTTTTTAGGTCTTAACAACCCACACGAAACAATCTGTAACAGGATAAATTGAAGGTTTTGATTGGACAAAGCAGAAGCTCGGAGAAGCAGAAATATAATCATAATGGAGAAAGATGGGGCAACTGTATTTCAAAATGGTGGGAAAGTGCAGCCAATCTAGGTATGTATGTCTTTCTTTCTGATCTAAAGATGTTTCGTGACTACTGAACTTTCTCAATAAAGTTTTGAATCTAACTTGTAAGACTGAGAGATCACAAATTTAGAACTACTAATATTAATGCCCACTTTAGTTTCTAAGGGCTTCCCAGGTGGCGATAGTGTGAAGAATCTGCTTGCCAAGGCAGGAGATGTAGGAGATAAGGGTTGATCCCTGGATTTGGGAAAATCTCCTGGAGGAGGGCATGGCAACCCTCTTCAGTATTCTTACCTGGAGAATCCCAAGGACAGAGGAGCCTGGTGGGCTACAGTCCATAGGGTTGCACAGAGTTGGACACAACTGAAGCGACTTAGTACACGTTCGGTTCTAAAAGGCAAGAATCTGGAACCAGTAGCATTGGCTATTAATATTAAGATGACAAACTGTTTTCTGGAATTAAAAAGCTTCATGCAAAGATATATATATCTTTCTGGATGGACAGCAATGTCTCACTATATAGCACAGGGAACTATATTCCTGGGATAAACTGTAATGGAAAAGAACATTAAAAAGAATATATATATATATATCACTTTGCTCTACAGCGGAAATTAACACAACATTGTAAATCAACTATACTTTGATTAAAAAAGATATGTATTTTTCCACACACCTATTCTTTTAAAAAAAACCTGAAGAATATCATGTACTTATGAGACATTTCTTGTAGGTAATACTGAAGCTTCTCACTGTATAAATCCGAATGTTTCTGGTTGTAGTTATAGAATACCCAGCTCTTACTGATTTACTTAATGGGATTTATTGGGTCATGCAGATGGAGACCCAGAGGTAGACAGTCTTCACGGTTAGTGTATTGAGAGGATCAGTTAGGCAAACACATCCCTACTTTCTTTTTTCTCTTGTCAGATTCATGTTTTCTACCTTGGTCCTCACTGTCTTATGGGTCCACACTGGAAACATCAACACAATCACAGAGTAAGATCGGGCTGGTGAGGGGACTTCCTTGGCAGTTTAGGGGTTAAAGAGTCTGCACTTCCACTGCAGGGAGAGAGGGTTTGATTATCTAGTTGAGGAACTAAGATCCTGCAGGCCACAGAGCATGGAGGAAATAAATAAGGAAATTTCCAAAAAAAGAAAAAAAAGATTGTGCTGGTTAGCTAAGGCCTGAGTCACATGACCCCCTTAGACCTTCTAGATCGAGGGGTAGAGGTATATTCTTCCAAAGTAGAACGGCTCTGGGGAATGAAGTGGATAACAGTATACAGCAGCACAATCAGAGTCCTTAGGAGAAGTGGGAGTGACTGGCGGGGTGGCAGTGTGTATCTCATTAAACCTCGTTCATGACGACGTGTGTTTACAAAGCCACAAATCTGGGTCACCCCACCTCCATCCCTCTCACTTCTCTACAGAGGAGAGCTTCCCTCACACACCAGGGAATCAATATTTGAAAAAGAAAGCTTTCCAATTGAATAGCTTCTCTGTGCTAAACGCTTTTCCAGGTCCTCACACCGTTCCCAATGAAGATGACATGTCAGCTGAACTCGTTTAATCCATTAAGGGCGCACCTGTTTGTGGGCAGCGTCTTGCACAACATGGTTTTGAAATTACTTCACTTTTCCTACTCTAGAGACATCACTACTCTTTTTTAAAAAAAAGTTTGAGGCACTCTCATAAATTTCTGGTGGAAATGCAAACATGTCCATTCC